GCTCTTATTTTTTAAATGCAATGATGTTTGGCTTAAAGATTTTTGTTGGTTTTTATGGGAAAAAAGATTTCATCTTATAAATATTTTGGGAGTGAAAGCAAGAACAAAGCATATTTATAATTAAAAGGTATTATATGTAGCTCAAATGTTTGTGCCCCCATAATACTCTGAAATAAAAAAAGTGTGGATATAGGAGGATTTTAAAAATTATTAAACAGTATAAAATACCATATGTACTATTAATGGCCCAAAAAGGGAAGGATAATATAATAAAATTTGATTTAAATAAAAGCCAACAAAAATGAATTTAGATGCTTTTTTACAAACTATTTTATAGACTCATAGTGTAACAAATTTAACATGCATTGTCTCTTTTAGGGCTGGATCTGCCATTTATGATGATGCCTCATCCCCTGCTTCCAGTCAGCTTACCTCCTGCATCAGTTGCCATGGCAATGAATCAGATGAACCATCTCAATACTATTGCCAATATGGCTGCTGCAGCCCAGATTCACAGTCCTCTCTCCAGAGCTGGTACTTCTGTTATAAAGGTAAGAATCATGATTTGGAAGAGGACAAATATGTTAATTACATGCAAATTTTGAAAAATATTAGCAATCCCACTGGATGTTCACTAGTAACACACAGCTCATCGATTCAATTGGTTAACATACAGTATTGATGAGTTTAGTTTCTGACTAGGCCTGCCAGGTTTTTTTTTGGTTGTTGTTGTTTGTTTTCATTCCGTGGCCACAGATCTCACTTTTAATTCTACCTTCTTGTCTTGCAATTGTGCGCCCAATGTAGAAGCCATGGGCAGACTAATCAGAGACTAGAAGAGTGTGCAAAAACCATTCCCATTGTTGGGGTGAAACAAAGTAAACACTGTGCATCCTTTTGGATTTTGAGAGACAACTGCGAGGTATAATATAACATGTAGGACTTATAGTCAGACAGATTTAGGTTCCGATTCTGATTTGCCTCTTAGTTGAATAACCTCGGGTACAATGGTTAACCTGCCTGAATGTGCTTCCTCAACTGTAAAATAAAAGTCATAGTTAATAAATCTACCCTACTTATTTCATTGGCTGTCTGTAGACAATGTAAAATATATGTTAAAACCTGTGAAACATTAAACAAATATTTATGATAATTTATTGCATTATCGTTATCATTATTAGAATACTATTTTTTCAAAAATTTATAGCTATTGGGTAATGAAACACAAAGGATATTTTATAATTCCTCATTCTGTTTCCTATTAGTTTGGCACATAGCCTCTTTCCCCTATTTCCAAGTATCACACGAACTAGGCTTTTGAGTTTGTTTTTGTGTTTGTGAGGGGGTGATATAAAGGTATGTAGGATCCTAAGACTATAGTTAATCACAGCAACCCATATATTTTATTCCTTCATTTATTTAAAAAGATATTATATCCTTGATATATACATGTTAGTATACTAGTCATTATGGGAAATTTATAAATAAGACATACTCCCTTACTTCCAGGAGCTCACAAACTCAAATGTGAGACAAACAAGTACCCATTTAACTTATACTAACAGGGAAGTGATGAATAACATAAGAGAACCACCAAGTGTTAACAGGAATTTAGAGGAAGGAGAGATCACACCTAGCTTGGAGAAGTGAGGTGGCAAGGATCAGGAAATGCATTACAGTTGATGGATTTGAATGGAGTCTTGAAATATTGATATGATTGTAATACATAGGCATGAGAGTAAGAGAAGTGAAGGCAGAGGAAATGTGACATTCTGGACATTTTTGTTTCATTTTAAAATTAGATTCCAGCTTGAGGGTCTTCTAAAACATTGAAGAAAGTTTAAAACATAACCTTTGTAGGAAAGTAAAAGAAAAATTGATCATTTTTGTAGAGCCCCATATATATTTCTATCACCAAATAGAAGTGTGCTTCCTGTAAAGATTACGGTTGTTAAAGGGTTAGACTGTCCTAAGTAATCAGAGCCCTGTTGTTTGAATATTTGACTAGAGTGTAAACGGGGAGTTAGAGTTTCTTTGAGAACAAAATTGCCAATCAAAGATGGAATAAATTGCCTATGATTTTGCAACAGGATGGCGACTGAAAAAATATGACCCCCACATACAAATTGAGAAATCCTATTAAAAAATAAAGCCAGGTGTGATTCTGTATACCAGTAGTCCCAGCTAATTGGGAGGCTGAGGCAGGAGGATTGCTTGAGCCCAGGAGTTCAAGGCATCCTGTGCAACACAGGGAGACCTTCTGTCTAACATACAAACAAAAGTACACTTCAAGGTAATGATATTGTCATACTTGCTTTGGAATGATGGAAGAATACTTTTAATAGAGGCATGCTTATGACTCTTCAAAAGCACTCTGGTTAGTTTTCATAAGGACCAGACTGAATTAGCTAAATTTTTTTTGAATGTTTGGGACTTTGAGTAGTTTTGTGAAGAATTTGAGCCACTTGGGAATAGAGTTCATGACTACCATTTGATCATTGGTGGTGATGATTATAGTAGTGGAAAGGAAAGGATCATTATCTTCTCCTTAATCCCAATATTGTTTTATTGTTAACTTATTAAAGCAATATAATTTTGTTTATTGCTGGTTAGTCTGTTTCATGTGCAACCTTTTTTTTTTTTTTTTTTTTTGAGAGACAGGATCTTGCTCTGTCACCCAGGCTAGAGTTCAGTGGCACAATCATAGCTGCTTGCCACGGCCTTAGACTTCTGGACTCGAGAGATCCTCCTGCTTCAGCCTCCTGAGTAGCTGCGACTACAAGCATGCACCAATGTGCCTGGCTAATTTTTAAAGTTTTCTGTAGAGCCAGGGTCTCGCTATGTTGCCCAAGCTGGTCTCAAACTCCTGACCTCAAGTGATCCTCCTGTCTTGGCCTCCCAAATGCTGGGATTACCTGTGTGAGCATATGCAACCTTTTTAAAAAGAAAGTTGGAACTATCACAAACATACAATTTTACATCATTTTTTAAAAGTTGACATTAGATAGATCACATGCCTATTTAAGTCTTGTCAAATACACAGAAATCATTTTATGCTGAATAGAAACTATATCTACTTTCCTATAGTTACTTTGACTAACGAAAATTGAGAAAGATATTTAATTCAAATGCCCTTTGATAAAATTTCTCTACAAATCTATTGAAAGTACATTTCCATTGGAAGATGATAGGGAATTGAAGAAAAAAAATATAAAAAGAGTTGATTTCAGTGAATAGTGAGAGGCTTTTAATAAAATTGTCAAGTTTTGTTAGTTTTGGCAAAAGTGCTATTGTATAGTAGTAAAATATTAGTTTTAAAATAATAATTCATAGGAAATACCATAATAAAAATCCTCTAAGTAATTGACAAATGAGTGTTTATGTATATCAAAGTTTCACTCTCCTTTTAAGAACAGTTATCATATAATACCAGTCATGATATCCAATTATAAAGATATAAATTTCATACCTATGTTAATCTATATTTCAACAGAATTTGCTTCAGTGTAATTCTTGGTGAAGCATAGTTTCAAGGTTCAATCTATTAGACTCTTACAGGCATTGAGTAGACCTATGTATTGAGAATTCATATAATTCTACTTGGGGGATAGAGGAATTATTCAAACAAAAACACATTTGTACTATTTACATTTATAAGTTTTCAAGTCCTATCAATTTGACATTATAAAAGAGATATTTAAATTAGTATCATTCATTATGTTACTTCAATATCTGATTTAAAGTCATGAAATCTTTTATATAATTTTTACCATTTAGAGGTATACTGTCCTTTCAAAATATACATTATCAGAAAATTTAACATTTAATGTTTAGAAATAAATGTCTTAACTATGAAATTTGATTCTTTCTCACAAATCCACTTTAAATTAGAGGAAGTCACAATAGCCCGATGCACAAAACCCTCTTTGCTGTGCATAGTATAATGAATTTAAAACACAGCTGCAAAAAAACAATATTAAAAAGTTTGGTAGATACAGTAAGAGGCTAGGACACATTACAGAAAGAGCCCCAAATATGTGCTTAGTTATGTAAAACTTATGCAAATCCACAAAAAGAACTATTAGATTTACTGATATATTTAAATTATTCCTGTTGCTTGCCTATCTTTTTTTACTCTCAGGTAAAAGTTACCCTTTTGGCTATATCAATTGAAAAATTCCCTGGATTAAAAAAAAGGCTATGATATTGAAACAAGTTTTCAGAGTGCTTTTAAACACCTACCATTGTTCTTTAGCATGGTTTCTGTTAATCTGCTGCATGTGCTGATGATTGTCACTGATGATCATGATACTCTGATCACAGTTTCCATTGGAAACTGACTGGTCCTTTAGTATGTGCTTTGAATGTTAGAATTACGTGATACACAGAGGAAGGATATCAAGTTAGTGAATGACTGGCTATACAAACCATACTTATTTCTAGCATTTAGCATTTCTAATCAAAGGGCCTAGGAGCAGCTATTTTATTAATAATCCTTTTGCATTTCAATTTTCCCTTTTTTGAAATGAATCTTTCTTTATGCTTTGATTCTATGTTTACATATAGAATTTATGTTCACCTTATAGATAGAGTCTATATCTGAAAACTGGTGAGACTAAACTATAAGTCATGTTAACTCTTCATTTTAATTCAGGCCACACAATTTGGCTTTTATTTAGCAAATTCGTTTGTTAACAACTAATTGAATCAGAAGAAGCTTCTGGCATCTGGTTTAAAAATTTTGTTGGTCTATCCATAGTTTTTGTTTTCCATTTATTGAGTTCTTGTTATAAGTCAAGTAGGTGTCGAGGTTTACAATTTAATAAGGGAGAGACAAATAATAAACAGAATAACTATATAATTCTTTCTTAAAATTTAGATAGACAAAATGAACTCATATGTACTATTTTGAAAACATAGTACAGAGTTTGCTTTTATGCCCCGTGAGTCCTGGGTTCCTGAGTCATATAACATGAAGGGTAAGTATATATAATAATTTAAATTTTTCCACCTCCTCTATGCTTAAAATTTTACTAGTAGATAATTCTTTGTTGTTCTATATTTGTCTCTCATTTCTTAGGTTGTTTAAAAGGAAAGTTATGGGATGGATACAGCTGTGATTGTGTACATATTCACAGAATATATGTATTTTTATAATGTGGCAGTCTAGTTGTGTTTGAGTGCTCATAGACTCAAATAAACACAGAACCTGGTGTACTTGTTAATGAACTTAATATTTGCTTAGTCAGATAATGTTTAACATTATAATGAAACAGAAACCTCAGATTCCTATAATGGACTTAGATATTCAGTGTTTTAGATTTTATATTTGAGCCAACATCCAGTGATATGCCTATAAACCAGCTCTCCAAAAATAAGGAAAGTCAAAATAAAAAAGAAAACCCCTGAGTTATAGTATTTGCCAATTTCCTTGACATAAATATTTCCACTATGTCTGATTTTAAGTTACCAACAGTTTAACAGCTGGCTCACTACATTAATGAATATTTAACAATTGGCTGTGGTTTGAATAGACTCTAAGACTACATTC